TGAAACAAATAAACTTTTCGAGCCCGCTGTTTTTCCCAAGCCCAGTTCGAGCAATCTGCATACTGCTGTGTAAAACCTAGATTTTGGCGTCTCCGAAAATCACGATCCAAAAGCCCATTCCTAGGTCGCCATCGATCCGTCACCCCAAAACACCCCCCTAAACCTCGCGCAAGTCGACAAGGCTCCTCTGTTTCGCCTTCAACAAAGACCAGGTCGTTCACCTGCGACCGGGGGGCATTTCCTCAAGCTCCCTTGGTCATGGCAGTGGTCATGGCAGTTGTGGTAGCGACTGGGCCCCAAACCTCCTCAACCCACGACCTCGCGAACAACACTCAGCAAATCAATACCAGAGAGGATCCCAAGCCACGAAATCGCCCCCTTCGCGGGGCCTTGAACATGGTGCGCTGGGACCCGCTGGGAGACATCTACAAGACAAAATGCGTGCGGCAGAAGCAACGATACGTTGATGCGTGCAGCTGATGCGAAACAGCTGCATGTGTGTCTGTGTCTATGTATGTATGTGTTTATGTATCTATGTACAAGTAAACAATCTACATCTACATATGTATATATATCTATGTATGTCTATGTATATATGTATGCAGAAAAATGAACGTATCTATCCATCATCTATCTATCTATCTGCCTGTCTATATGAACAAAAAATAGACACGTAGATGGATAAATAGACGAATAGATAGACGGATAGATAGATAGATAGATAGATGAATAGAGCTAGATGCATAGATCGATCGTTCGATCGATGGGTGGATGGACGGACGGATGGATGGACGGACGAACGGATGGAGAAGGAACGGTTTAGGGATGGATGGAAGCATGGACAGATAAATAAGCTCGTGTCCGCGACACGGGGACGCATTCCATTAGAGTCAAAGGATCAGATATGCTTTCGTGAGCAGAGGAACCATCACCGGGACGGATTTCAGAGGCGAGGTGCTGTCAATGCTGAAACCGTCCATCTTAAGCCTTCCTGGGGACCCGAACATCTGTGCCCCACAACCAAGCAACTCCTAGTTTGGGGAGCAGTCTTGTCTCGCGCGGCTCCTGAAAAAGTCGAAGTAATGGGGCTTCAGGTTTCAGGAGTTGAGGGAATGGCATGTAGCAGGATTGTTCTTACGATGGCACAAACATACGAGATGTAGATCGCAGCTTATGCCAACAGGGAGATGCCAATTGTTGGTTAGTTGAACAACCGCAGCAATGCACGCACTTCTTGTTTAAGCCCCGTGGTGCTCCACATAGACGTGGAGGTCCAAGCCTCTTAAGAGCAGAACTGCCAACTGCCAAGGACAAATGCAAGCCACACCGCACAGCTGCACTTGTACTCGCTCTGTCACACTTGTCCGGGCCTGCCCGCACGCGCATTGCGCCTTGCTGGGCTGCGCTGCGCCATCGCACCTGCACATTCGACGAAATCGGGCCAGGCAATTGCTTTCGGAAGCAACATCTGGATCGTCTTCAGTTTTTCAGATGCCCAGCAAAGCCAACACGGCAGGCTTCCCGGCCTGCCCCGCACAAGTTTCGAGGCTTTCGGGCTTCGAGGAGGGTCAACCCTTCGAGGGCTTAGGGTTTACAATACGTGCTGAAGCCCTGAGGAGTGCCTGCGATTGACGTCGTTGCATAGGTGAAAGGAAGCTTCATGTTTGAGTGCGGAGCTGACCTTTTCAATTTTGGCCGTTGTGCTCACTAGGGGAAGGCTACGAGACAGAAACCCCTTGGCCATGAATCAGAGATTCACAGCCTTAAGCAGTCGTAGCATGTATGTCAGCAAGAACAGCAGACTGTTACCTAAGCTGACAGATGCGAATGCATGTCTGCAGCAGGTCGTACATCTGTGTGTTGCGTGAAAAAAGGAATCGCCGACGATCAGGTTAGCCATGGATGTGCCTATACCGTCTGTTGCTGTCAACCCTGATCAGCAGGTTATGAGCCCAAGCTCAGCCTGCGGCTCCGCAAATCAATGGCTCAGATGGAGCCAGTGGACTGGCAGCAGGGCCAGTGGAGGTGGAAACCGGTGCATCGTGTTCGGGTCAGGGGTCATTCCCGAGATCCGAACCGATGCAAGTGGATGAGAGTAGCAGAGGAGGCGGTATAGGAGGTGGAGACGCTCGTGTGGGAGCGGAGGCTTCGCCCCAGGCCACGACCTCAGCTACAAGACCTTCGGATGAAGTAGGCAGTGGGGACCCTGGACAAGGGCAGGTGGTGATGCAGGGATTGCAGCCTCGCACAGAAAACGCCGGCCAAGCTGGTGCACGTGGAGGGAGATCAGCTGATCAGGCCGCGCACTTTCCAGGAGATGCTGTTCCTATGACCTCTGGAGCAGGAGTAGATGCGGGCAATTTTACTACCCCGCGATCAAGACTGGCGACGCCGGTGATGAGGGCGGAGCCAGAAAGAACTTCGGGCAGTCATGCGCTGCCTGCATGGGTATCAAGGCTGGGTGAGTTTTTCCGGGCGCCACAGGTGACCTGGCTTCCAAGTCCACTGCAGTCGCCGCCGAGACCGAGGAGCATTTTCTCACATGGTGTTGCCGGACCCGAAGACCATCCGCGGTTGTCTGTGCCAGAGTCGCTTTCTGCAGTTGCGGGAGAATCGGTTGGGGGTATGAGACCTAAGGGAAATAGAGGTAACCCTACCATAACAACCCCTAGCAGCAGCGACCTACCAACAGAAGCAATCCAAGCAGAAGTGCAGAGACAACTTAGTGGCCTCTTGGACCGCCTGAGCTTTGTGGAGGGAGAGAATGCAAGATTGCAGAGTCAGCTTATGCAGGCTCAGTCGCAACAGAGGATGGAGAGGGAGTCTATACCACAAGTAGAAGAAGTACCTAAGGGGCGCGATCAGGGACTACCTAGAGTACCTGAGCAGACAGCTCCTAGAGGTGATCCTCCCGGTGTCCATCGACCCTCTTCAGATGCATGGCGTGATCCTCTTGGGGCGTTGTGGGACGAGCTTGCTGCTCGACGAGGGGCTTCGGAGCCCGCGCCAGAGGGTCTTCGATCTTCAGGAATGGTTCCGGAAGCGGTACCTGGGCTGCAGAACCGGAGCAAGATGCGACAATGGCAATGCTTCAGGCCTTGACCAAAAGCATGACGCAGCTTCAGGACATGCAAGCCAAATCACTTCAGAAAGGCCTTGAAGAAGATGTTCCGGAAGCAGTTAAGTCGGCAGTGACTATGTTGCCGAGTCTACCTGCACCAGACGGACAGTCTACAGGAATCGCTCTTCAAGACTGGCTAGCTCAGATAGCCGTGGCTATGCAAGACTTGTCTCCTTCGTCGGGTGCATGGTGGAGTAAGGTGATGGGAGTTGTCCAGACGACCTACACAAAGTGGTTGGGCAGTACTCCCTTGGAGCGGCTTCAGCTTCAGCCCGTTGGAAGCAGTGCCTTAGCTGAGGGAAAATGGACTAGGGTCAACGCCCGTGCTTGCTCGATGCTTCTTCAGAGTTTGAGCGAAGTGGTGAGGCAGGATTTGATTGCTCGCAGGGTTGTCCAGAATGCGGTTCTCATCATGTTTCGGTTGCACACGGCCTATCAACCTGGAGGGGCCTCAGAAAAGACTTTGGTGCTGCAGAGCCTCCAGATGCCTGGTGCGTGCGATACAATTGATGATGCCCTAACCTGGTTGAGGAGTTGGCCACGGTGGATACAACGGTGTCAGGATTTGAATACGCTGTGCCCGGACGGAACGGTGTTGGCCAAGACGCTGACTTCGGTGACGTCACGCTTTATCACCGAGAGCGGCGACGCGCAGTTCCGAACTCAACTCCTTCGCTCGACCTTGCGAATCGATGGACAACCGAGCCTGGAAGACGTAAAGCGATACCACCAACACTTGCAGGCCGAGCTGGAAGCGTCGAGCTCATCGCGGGCGTCATCCTCTTTGAAGGCTCCTACGGTGAGGGCGATGGGAGCTGGAGTGAGTCCGACATCTCCTTCGGGATCTCCGTCGGCAGGTACCTCGGCAAAGGCACCTTGCAAATACTTTTTCCGACCAGCCGGTTGTCGAAGGGGCCAAAAATGTCCGTATGGCCATGATCTCTCTACTCTTCCCAAGCACGAGAAAGCCCGCAAATGCTTGAGTTGTGGCAGTGAAGAACACCGCCAAAGGGACTGCCCTACTAAGACTGGAAAACCTCCTCCGAGACCTACGGGAACCCCGAATCCGACCGCTACGCCAGGGACTTTGCCAACCGCTTCATCTACTACAAGTGCCCCCAAGGTACAGCGACTAGAGCCAGAAGGTGAAGTGTCGCCAGGAGGAGGCACAGCATCGGGAGTGGTGACTGGAGAGCCGGTGTGGACTCTTGAGTCGCTGTTGCAAGCAGCTACCAAGATTGCGGGTGCGGGGCAGCAGAATGGAGGTCCTTCGCTGAATGTGGTGTCGCTAAAACAACATTGGACTCGTGTGCCACGCGAGCACTCCTTTTTTTGACCGAGGCAGCGGTCATGATCAGCGCACCGTGGACATGCCACAGCACGGGTGAAAAGCCAGGGGGCCTACGAGGGCCGGACGTCTCCTGGCATCTCTAGGCCTTTCCTCACCCGCGGGTGGTAGGCCATGGTAAAAGGTGAAACTGCACCGCGGTGCGCCTCCCTACTGCACCGCGGTGCGGGGAGGGCACGGGCGGGAAACCAAAAGCTACGCGCGCATGACGTCCAAAGCAAATGTCATGCAAGGTGCGCGCCGTAGGTGCTCCTACTGCATGACAACGGCCCATTGGACTCGTGTGCCACGCGAGCACTCCTTTTTTTGACCGAGGCAGCGGTCATGATCAGCGCACCGTGGACATGCCACAGCACGGGTGAAAAGCCAGGGGGCCTACGAGGGCCGGACGTCTCCTGGCATCTCTAGGCCTTTCCTCACCCGCGGGTGGTAGGCCATGGTAAAAGGTGAAACTGCACCGCGGTGCGCCTCCCAACTTAAAAGCGCTCCCCACTAAAAGTGAGCGAGAGCGATTGCCTTCCTCGCGCAGCGTTACGGCTTCAAGAGAAGCTGGCGGCACTGCTGCACGAAGTGAGGGAGGCGAGGGAGGGCAGAAACAGTAAGCTGTTGCTGCACCAGCAGTGCGCGGGCTTCATCAAGGTAGATGCGGCAGGTTTTTTGATCCTGCCATCTTCCCATAATCATGGTAGCTTCAAAATTCTGTGAGGTTTGCCAGTGAAAAGTGGCACCTCCTCGGCGAAGGCCGTAGGGAAGGAAGGTGCCTTCTTCCAGCCCCAGGAAGACTACCAGTTTCTGGAACCTTGCCCGAAAAGCTTGCATCGAAGAGTTAATTATGGATTGATCAGTTGACCACGACGCCATAGCTGCAGGCAGCACCCGGCACAAAAAAGGGTCAAAAAGTGAGACACTCTGCGCTCTCCCGTGGGAGGTTTTAGTGTGTGGCAAGGCTACCACCACGTGTCCCGAGCGCAGGCAGGAAACGTCCCTGGGCCGCAGCCCGTATATTTCAGCAGTACGAGGTGAAGAAAAAAGAGAAACTGGATGAGAAGTGCCACTGCCAGCCGTTTTTGGCCAGCGGCAAGGGCAGCTCCTGCCATAGCTTGGACCATGGACCACGGGACTGGCGTGGCTGGCTTGTACACTTTCATCCAGTTGGAGTAAAGTTGCGTGGCAGTATAAAGTCTCGACCGCAGTCGGGGGAGGAACCGTTTAAGGGCTGAAACTGCAGCCCCAGCATACCCGGGTGAGTCCCCCTCTTGGAAGGATTCATTCATGAATTCCCCAAGCGCCGAGTCAAGGGCTTTCACGGAATTGGGCAGCTCAAGATCCTCCCTTGCAAGAAAGGCAAAAAAGCGGAGCAGGGCACGGCGGTAGTTGGCTCGGGATTTGGGGTTCAGACCTTGGAACCTAAGGTGGAGCTTAGGAGCCATGGTGAGGAGCAAACCTCCTGGACGCAGTATCGGCAAAGTTCCACGCCGAAATGGTCCATAGCGCCAGCGTTTGCAGTTGAGCCGCCAGCTGAACCGCCATCATCCGTCGAGCCAACCTGTTCAACCGCTTGCTGTGTGCCCTGCCCTTTGATGTGATACACGACCTGGGAATCAAGGATGTGAAAGAACCTTGTCCCCTGTGTGTTCAACTGCGTCGGACCTCCGCTAGAGCTGCCAACATCTCTAGCGTGGTGATGTTGTCCTCGTTGTGCCAGGCGAAGGACAACGTGTTGCGCCATCTCCAGAGGTGCGCCGGGTAGGGCACCATCTTGAGGTTGTCTGGCTCATATGGTGCCATGAGCCGAACCTCGGTACCTCGATAATGCCCTCTGCTAAGCATCCTCCGCAGATGTTCCAGTGGGTCTTCCAAGATCTCCCGGGCAATGGGCGCAATCACCTCAGATGCTGCCTCCGCCGCGGCGGGTGATCTGAGGCTCGAGGAAGCTCCACGAAGCTGCGCCATCAGCTGCCACTCCATGGTGCGATCAGCGAGCTTGCCTGGGATGAAAGGGCAGATCTCAGCCAGATCCCTCTTTATCGCCAACGCCATGGCGTCACAAAGGTCCCAGGGGAGGCGAAGCTCCTCGCAGCAGGCGAACCGAATCCGCCCTGTGCTGTCGTACCATGCCTTGTGCTCTTCTTCGTGGTCTCGGCACGCGGGCCGGTGCAAAGCTTTGTGGACTGCCGGGGAGTTTTTCCTCCACAGCCCGGGACAAGGACTTCAGGGCCCTCAGCGCGAGGGTGTTTGCCCTCCTCACTTCAAAGGCGGCAGCCTTGGAGAGATGGGCCACCCCAGTGAGGTGCCCTCCTGACCTGAGGGCTGGCGGGGCTTCCACCCATCTCCCACTCTGGAGCTGCACCTGCTCGCCACGGCCAAACCCAAAGGTGCTGAAGGGCGGACTCCAAAACTTGGCCGCAACCAGCGGGTCCGCCTCATCTTTGTCGTTGACGTTGGGCCCAAAGGCGGCGAGCACTGCCACCTTGTTCAGGGCCATGGCCTCAGTGAGAGGTTGCCCGGCTTCCGGAAAGAACTCAGCAAAGGTGGGACACAGATAGTTCCTTCTAGAACATCTGTGTTCCCTACAGCAGGTGGAGCAGAAGGATCTCCCACAGGAAGCCGGACAGGCATAAAAGAGCCCGCGCGAGCCCCAAGACTCCTCTCCGCCTCCAGGCTCATCCTCTTCCACTGGCGCAACAGTGGGCCTCCGGGCAGTCTGGGCAACGGCCGCTCCACCCCCCCAAAAAGATGCGTCAGAGCAGGAGATTTCCCCGGACACTCTGGCCCTCAAGGAGGTGGAGGCCAAGGGGAGCAAAAGCACGAAGGTCACCATTTCGTCGATGACCTGCGGGTCTGGGTCCACAGCCCCATCCTTGGCCCTCTCTATCAGAGGGAAGATCTCCTAAGAGCGGCCTCCGGAAAGCGGCCACAAAGGTCGCGATCCCAGCCCATCTCCTTAGGGCAGCCTCCGACCAGGAGGCGGAAGCCAAGAGGCCCAAAGTGGCCAGCACCAGCTTCTCGGCTTTTTCGCTCCCCACCGAGATCGTTCCTTTGTCCCCATCTAGCACCCCTCCTTGGATGCCCCCTCGTAGTGCTCCAGCGAGGGACTTGGAGGCGTTGACGGGCAGACCCCTCTCCTTGCAGGCTGCCCTGAAACGCTCATGCTCTGGACTGGCGACACCTTCTTCTACTGCACGCAGCGTGGTGTCGACCATCCGAACCTGGTCGAAGGAGTCAAGGTAAAGCACGGCTCCGCCCTCAGCGGGTATCTCCTTGACCTTCGAGATCTCCAGGCTCGCCGGTACCCCTGCCTTGTCAAACACAAGGTTCCTAAGCACCGCCTGCATGATGGTGACCGCGGAGCTCCACCCCATAGGGATGACCCTCAGCCCCGGCCTGACCCACTCCTCGTTGGAACCCATAATGTGCCCGCGCACCTTCTTGGCGTAGGAGAAATATGGGAGCCAGGTGTCCGGCATGCGGAACAAGTTGAAGGCCGAGGTGAGGTCCTCTGACTCTATCATAAGGGTCTGGCTGTCATCCAGGAGCAGCAGGCCAAGCTGGGCCACGTACGGGAGGAAGTCCTGGTCTCCCGGGAGGGCCTCCAGGTACTCATTGATCGGCACGAAGTTGCTGATGAATCTCTGCATCGTGACTTCTTTGCCGCCGACCAGCTTCCTCTTCTCCACCGCCCCAGCACCATTCGTGATGAGGTGGCCTTGCGCGTCCCGGGGGACGGCGCTCTCGTCCACCGGCCCCATCATGTTGCGCTGGAAGGCCGCCGAGACAACCTTGTTCCATTCCTCCTGGGAGGCATGGACCTTACCCCTCTTGGAGGTCCTCGGCTGGTCGCTTCCCCTCTTGAAGTGAGGTTTCGGCGAGATCACTGCATGGAGGGCCTCACCCGTCAAAAAGTCAACGACGCTAGCAACCGCCGCCTCCCCAACATTGGGCCATGCACCGATCACCAGATCCGCTTGGATCTCCCCCACTCGCTCCACCATGTTGCCTTCATAGTCACGGGAGCGACTAGAGAGGATCTTCTCGGCCTCGGCCGGTCCTCCCAGAGGCAAGCCACGGCCCAAGCACCCGGCGCAGATCTTCGCGATCCCTTTCACCGCCTCTGCCTGCCGTGGGGTGACTTCTTCGGGCGGCGCCCAGCACACAGGGCTGATCCAACCACAGCAGTAGTGGAAGTTGAGGGCGTGCAGGGTAGTCTCCAGCACCACCGGGGAACAGTTCTCCACAACTTCAATGTTGCAAGTGGCATCCACATGGATAGAGAGCAGGTCATGTTCCCTGGTGGGCTCCGCGCCCGGGGGGGCTGCCTCGGTCTCCTCCATCCTTCGGAAGAACGAACCAAGAGGAGTAGGGAACCGCCTGCCCTCATTCATGAACCACTCGAGAAACTGCTCCCAGGTGGGCTTCGTACCCAAAAGGCGGCGGACCGCCGCTTGCAAGTGGCTGAGGTTCCACCACCCTGTCGCCGCATGCTTGGCAGCATGCTCCAAGGAGTCGCGCAGGGTGTCCTCATCTTCGCTGACCCCAAGGGCCTCCAGCAATTCATCATCCCATTCCTCTTCTTGGCCCGGGCTCAAAGTCTCGGCCGCAGCCGGTGTTGAGCCCTGGGGCGCACCCCGTTCTTCTACGGCGGGGTCATCCGCCGGGGCCTCCTCCTCACCTTCTTCTTCTTCGTCCCACTCATCAGGAGGACCCCCATCATCATCGGGGTTGCCCGGCGGATCATCATCTGGCGGCTTGCCGCCTTTGACCTCCTTTTTGACCTTCTGCTTGGTCTTGGCCTTCGGGGGCTTTTTCGGGGCTCTTCCAGACTCCGCCGCAGCGGGCTCTACTTTTGCCCCTTCTTTCCTTTCGCCCCTTTTTTGCCCTCGCCCTTTTTGCCTTTCTCCCCCTCGGGGGGCGTGGTCCGGAGCGGTGGCGGCTCGTTGTCGTCCGGGCGGGCGAACCACTGCCCCTTGCCCCGGCCCCAGTTCCGCTGGCCTGCTTCCTTCACCTTGGTCTCCAGGGCCAGCTGCCTCGCCGCCATCACCGCCTCGTCTGTCTCCATCAGGAGACTTCCTTCCCGCGGCACCAGTTCCAGGAACTGTGCTTTCAGCCAGTGATCGCCGGCCAGCGATGCTTCGATCGCTTTCACTCTTTGCGCGAGAAGGTCTGCGGCGCGCCGCGCTTCCCCTTCGACCACCAGGTCCAGCGCCTTGCACAGGGTCTTGAGTTCCCGTAGAAGGCGAACTCCGACCTTTGCCCTGTACTCCGGCACCATGATCGTGAGGAGGTAGCTCGTCGCCACCGGTGGCGCTGGGTCTTCCCGGGCTGCAAAGTTTAGCGCCCCCCCGTCCCGTGCGAGCAGCATTCGCATCTTCTGCAGAAGACGAGCCGACAGCCGCCCCGGGTACCTCTCCGAGTACTCCAGGAGCTGCAGCTGACGGTCGCGAGACGAGGAGGCTTCGCGAAAAGACGAGTCTGATGAAGACCCATCTTCGCCCAGATCGACCTTGACTCCGCCCCCAAAGGGACCTCGGTCGGCTTTGCGGCCCGCCTCTCTGGACCGACTCCTCTTCTTTTTCTTTTTTTTCTTCTTTTCCTTGGGAGAGCTCTGGTCCTCAGACCGTCTCCTTATCGGGCTCCCACCCCTTCTCATCTCTGACTCAGAAGAGACGCTTTGGTGACCTCCCGGGTCCAGCCAGCGCCTCCGCTTCTTCTCGAGTGCGGCCTCCGCCTCCGCTGCTGGCCCTGAGTCTCTCTCCCGCGCACGGGGTTCTTTGGCGCGCCGCTCCGGGGAGCGATCTCGGCGATTTTTCCGCTTATCCCTCCGACCCTGCCCAGGATCCTTGAGATCTCTGGCCAGGTCGTCGAGCTCTGCGGCAAGCCCCGGAGGCTGCGCCTCCGCGCCAGGGGGGCCACCCCATGAGGGTGCTGCGAGACCCTTCTCTCGCTCTTTCTTCCCCCCTTTTGCCTCAGCCGCAGCTGGTGCTGTTGGCTGGCCACCCAAGCGATCTAGCTCCCATCTTAGATCTGCCGCCGCAGCGGGTTGGGTAAGCCATGGTGGCTGCAGGGAGGTCCCGAGCTCCGCAAGGGGGATGCTCCAGTAGGGACTCAAAGTGGAACTCCATGTCGGGGTGCCCTTTTGATCCCCTGCAAGTGGCCGGAGACTTGGCACAGACGTGGAAGGAGAACCACCTTTGCTCCGAAGAGCCTTCTCCTTCATCCAGCCACCATTGCAGGTACCCGTCGGACACCGCGACGATGGTACCTGCAAACCATTCCCCATATCGGCCGGGGTTCTCCCGCTCCTCGATCCTCACCAACCCCATACCCTGTGGGTGGCGAGCGGAATCGAGGAGCTTGAGCTCCACATAGTCGCGCAGCGGGTAGGGCATTCCATGCACCCTGGTCCTCTCTCGGGAGGAACCAGGGCCCAGGCATCCTACCCTACCTTTCCTACGCGGTCATGCTTAAACCAAAAGCTACGCGCGCATGACGTCCAAAGCAAATGTCATGCAAGGTGCGCGCCGTAGGTGCTCCTACTGCATGACAACGGCCCAATGTGCCTTGAGCCGAGGAGGAGATGGAGATTCTGGGGCGACACATGCTTTGAGGAGGGCACGCTCAGATGAAGAGTGGAAAGAGGCTGATCCTGTCACGGTGAACCTCGCGGGTGGCCAATCGATCTTCTTGAAGATGAACAAGGCTGGGACCATCCTTGTGCCTACGACGTCCTCTACCACATTTACCTCTACGGCTCCAATAGTTCCTTTGGGAGCACTGGTCAGCTAGGCTACACTATGACATGGAGCAGCAACAGGTGCAAGTTGGAAGGGCGAGATGGCGAAGTGTTCAATTTGAGAATTCGGGAAGGCTGCCCTGAGATCACAGAGAGGGACGCCTTAAAGCTGATTGCGCGCCTGGAGGATGAGAATCTGGAGACCCTAAAGGCCAACACGAAGGCAACTCGAAGCCGGGTCAAGGCCGCAGCTTTGGCAATGAGCAAGACGTGGTTTGATCATTTGATTTCGTACATAGATGGAGAGCTTTCGAGCGAAGCATGGAAGGCAATTGAAGCTGCTCCTTTCCTTCAGGATGTTCCTCGTCCTTGCGTTGCAGGCCTAGTTGATTCGGTTCCAGAAACCAATGGTTGGGACATTCTTCGCGGTCTTGAGCACTTGAACAGACGGGCTCGTAAGAAGTTGTGGGCGTCAAACAAGTGGTTGGTTCACCTATATTCGGGAGAGCGTGATCGGCAAGAGTTTCGGCATCTCGAGAACCATGGTTGCGCAGTGTTGGAATTGGATATAGCTAGAGGGCGAACCCAGGACGTTCTGAGGCCGTCAGTGTGGCGAGTACTGGAGTTTGCCGCTAGAAAGGGAAAGATAGCTGGAATAGTGGGAGGTTCGCCGCAAGGAAGTTTCATGATTTCGAGGCATGTCCTAGCTGGCCCTGAACCACTGAGAAGCAATGATTTCCCCTACGGCAACTGGCCGGGTCAGTCTGATGCTGATGTGTTCAAGGTGAACCGTGAGACCCAGCTGATGGTGAGGATGATCTACCTGCACGCGCTGTCAACAGCGGATCGCTTGAGAGCTAATGTTGATCCGGAGCTGTCAAGGGAAGTTGCTTTTCTGTTAGAACACCCCAGGGATCCACGAGGCTACCTCAAGTTTGGCGACCCTTTGTACCCAGACGTTGTGAGCTTTTGGAGGACTCCGCTGTGGTCTGAGTATGCACTTGAAGCAGGGCTGGATTATTACAACTTTGACATGGCGGCGCTAGGAAAGTACTACACAAGACATACTACCATTGGGACCAACCTTCCTCTACGACATCTTGATGGACTACGTATGAGATACTATTCGGATGGTCCAGTGGCTGTCAAGGCTCCCCCTAGCGCTTGGCCGGCCGAGTTTGTTGAGCACCTTGTGATTGCGTTGCGAATTGGGGCAAGGTACCTCGTATGCTACGAATGAGCGCAGAGCAATGGAGGGAACATGTACGGCGAGGCCACCTACCTTATAGAGCTGACTGCACGGTATGCGTGCAGGCTGGAGGAACCGGAAGAAGACACTCGCGGATAGAGCATCCTTCAGCATTCGCGCTTTCAGCTGACCTCTCAGGACCGGTGAAGGTCGGTGGGGCGGATCCTGATGCTCGCGGTGCTTTTCCAAAGAATTTCAAGTACATCTTCGTAGCTAAGCTTCGGGTGCCCAAAACATTTGTTGAAGATGGTCGGGGAGCTTGGGTTGACTACGAGGAGGGCGAGCTTGCGAAGGAAGAGTACGAAGATAAGGATGATGGTCTAGCTTCGGAAGGAAAAGGGCCTGCTGATGAGGAAGTTCGGGATGTTGTTGGTGCCAATGCCGACGATGATGAAGATCCCCCAGAACTTGAGCATAAGGTGAAGTTGGATGTTGATGAGAACTCCGATCTTGCTGCCCCCGAGCTGGTGAGCCTTATCTTTTCCACGGGCTTGCGCGATGATAAAGCAGTCACCGTGCTTGAGGCGGTGCAGGATGTGGTTCTCTACTGCCAGTCACTCAACATCCCTGTGATCCGGTTTCATACTGATCGCGGCATGGAGTTTCAAGCCAGAGCTACAAAGCAGTGGTTGAAAGGTCAGGGAATTCGGGTCACCACATCGGAAGCTGGAGTGCACCAGACGAATGGGGCTGCCGAAGCTACCGTCAGATGGATCAAGCAGCGCGCCCGCACCCTACTTCTTTCGGCGGGACTACCTCAACACTTGTGGCCAACGGCGGTGACAACAGCAGCCACGATGCAGAGAGCGGACGTGTTGGGGTTTGAACCAATGTTAGCGGCGCCATATGGTGCTAAGGTGATGGTGAGAAAGCGTCAGCTCGAAGGACCCAAGTTGGAGGACATGGCACCGAAGTGGACGCAGGGAATCTACGTGGGTCTTTCGGGGAGCCTTAGTAAGGGACACTTGGTGTTTGTGAAAAGCGATGAAGGGGAAAAGTTCGCCCATACTCTACATGTGCGAACAGGTCTTCGGGATCCAGGCCCAGTTGAGGAAGGGTTCCATATTGAAGAGCCGGGCCCACCAGATCGTAGAGTTCGAGGAAAATCATCTGGTTCAGTGATGTAGTTGGCGTCTCCAAGGTGACCGTTTTCGATGATGAAGGCCTCAAAAAATGGGCGGAAGCAGTACTTGGAGAATGGTCCCAGGAGGAGGCGGAGGCCATTGTGATTCAGGCTGGCAAGTATCTCCCTGCGGCGGACAACAACTATGGGATGTTTCGCTTCGGAGGTCGAGTGGGTGTAACAAGAGCAACTGTTGAGCGACCATGGTTAGCAAAAATTCTGCTGAGGTTGTTGACAGAACGGGCTCCAGATGCGGAGTTTGCCTCGGTCTTTATCTCTATCAACAACGAAAGGGAAGTTCATATAGACCGCAACAATGCCATGGGCACGTTGAATTACATCCTGCCGGTTGTGATGCCTAAGCGAGGTGGTGAAATTTGGCAAGAGCTGCGCAATGGGGATGTGGTGTCAGGGAGGATTTTGGAACTTCAGTCAAAAGAGGGACGAGTACGTTATGGTTGTTCCTATCCTCTACAAGAGGGGCAAGTCTTTTACCTAAATCCCCATCGAAGACACGCTGTTTTGCCATGGAAGGGAGAGCGTTTGGTTATCGTCGGCTACACCCCGGGAGTGCTACAAAACCTCAATCGTCATGATCGGGAGCTACTGTGGGATTTGGGTTTTCCAATGCCTTTGGTTGAGGAGGAGCCTAAAGCGGAAATTTACATCAATATGCTGAACGTCGTCCAAGGTGTTGTGAATAAAGCCGAGATCCAGGATCTGAGTCCCGAGGAGATGTTTGATGAGAGAGCGGATGTGAAGGTTGAGGAAGAAGTACCCGGTGACGGTAGTGAAGGCCAAGGTTCGCTAAGTTTTGAAGGCTGTTCGAGTGGGCAGCATGGTGTTGAAAGTGAAGAATGGTCTTTCTGGGAGATGTGTGTGAAGTTGCAAGATGGTACTGCGAGTGTAGCAGTTATTCCGGAGCTTGAGAACGAAGTGAGCATCGCCAAGGCCGAAGTCGGGTTCACGGAGAATATAGAGGTGCTATTGCAATCCCTAGATGCTCCTTTGACCATCGTGCACACCGTCAATCCCAAGGAAGTTGCGCAGTGCTTTGAGAAATGGATTCCCTCACTCGCCAAGGAGGTTAAGTCGTTGGAGCATGCTGTTGACCGAGTTGATAGTGCAAACCCAGAGACTCGCGCCGATTTGGATTCGGGCAGAGGGCAAGTGCTACCGATGAAAGTAGTTTACACAGTCAAGCCTCCAGATCCTCCTGCCGAAGGTGAAGTTCTCAGTGAGCAGTACAAGCGCAAGTCGAGAATAGTTGTGCGCGGGAACTTTGCAGCCCATCAGCCCGGAGAAGTCTACACGAATACAGCCCCAGCCGAGATAGTTAGGGCAGCCATTGCGTTGGCCAGGTTTTTCAATTGGGACCTGGGGATGATTGATGTCGTTGCGGCGTTCCTGCGAACCCCGTTGAAAGAGCTAAAGGGGGCACCGCTTGTGTATGGAATCCCGCCAAAGGTTCTCATCAAGGCCGGACTTTGTAGACCAGGAGAGCTGTGGAGATTTACGCATGCGGTGTATGGCTTACAAGAGTCACCAAAGCTGTGGGGTGCATTTAGAGACCTTCGTTTAGCTCGCGTGCAACTGGTGTTCGAAGGCAAAAGAGTGACCTTGATGCAGGGAACCGTTGAGCCATCGTGGTGGTCAGTGCTAGAAGAGGGGTCACAACTTATCGGCATCATTGTTGTGTATGTCAATGTAGATGATCTCCTGATTTGCGGCCACACCGCGATCATCAAGGAGCTTGCCAAGGCCATTCGAGCTATTTGGAAGACGAGTGATTTGCAGCTGATTTCTGAAGGACCACTGAGATTTTTGGGAATGGAGATTTCTCGCTGCACCCAAGGGTATGCTCTGTCTCAGCGTTCGTATATTGAGGAGCTTGTCAGGTTACATCAGTTACCAGCAGCGCGCAAGGATGTAATCCCGATATCCAAGGACCTAGCGGTGTTTGCTGCGGATGAGGCTGAAGGCGAGTACAGTGAGACGGAGTTGAGACTTGCTCAACAATGGGCCGGAGAGCTTCTGTGGGTCTCCCAAAGGACCCGTCCGGATATAGCGTTCACGGCGTCACTGGTCGGATCGCTGGCGACTCGTGCGCCTCGAAGAGCAGCCCAGATTGGGGAAAAGACGCTTGGCTTCCTACAGAGAACAGCAAATCTGTGCCTGGTGTATGATGGGGACAGCTCCGGTCTGGCCGCCTACTGTGATGCAAGCTTTGCCCCTGAGGGAGGACGCAGCCACACCGGATGGCTGGTGCAGTTACATGGGTGCACAATTGCTTGGAGGTCGGGGCGGCAATCCACCGTGACTTTAAGTACGGCGGAGTCGGAGTTGATGGCAATGTCGGAGGCGGTGCTCGCTCTTCAAAGTGTGGACTCAATGATGCAAGACATAAAGGTAAGCGTGCAGCCCCACCAGTTGTTCTCGGACTCAACTTCAGCGTTAGCAATCGCAAATGGATCAGGAAGCTGGAGGACTAGACACCTTAGATTGCGAAGTGCGTGGGTGCAGGAGTTGATTTCAAGACAAGCCGTTTCTCTTCACCATTGTAGCGGAGAATTTCAGCCAGCAGATTTGCTTACCAAGGCGTTGGCTTCCCAGAGGATTCGAGCCCTAAGTCGACTGCTATGCCTTCGTGATCCAGATGAAGAAGGAGATGATCGAGAAGGTGTTGCTTCGACAAGCACAGCAGCGCTCAGCAGCGGCAGCAGCAGAGCCAGTGCCCCTAATAAGGTTCCTAAGGGTCTTATAGCCTTGCTGATTCTCTCGCAAGCAGTGTGCGGCGAATCGCTTGATTGGGAGCAAGAGGAGGCCTTGGTTGTGAGGACTGGATTGGCGGTTGATTATGGGATGATCACTTCGGCCTTGTTGTGGATAGCAGTCATACTGGTGTTGCTAGCTTGGGAGCTTCTGAAATGGATAATGTGGTTGGCATATGATCGTGCTACACCTGGAGCGAAATCGCGTAGGGTCAGGAGACTTCAAAAGCTTAGGGATGCCACTACGTCTGCAATTCAGAAAGAGCTGGAAGTGCGAGCTGGTCATCGCATTGAGCAGCGAGGACAAGATGCAGCAAGGGATCCAAGCACTCAGCAGCGGGATCCGCCAAGGACGGTGAGTTCGAGCGCAACTGCTTCAGGCTTCAGATGCTCATGCCGAAGCGCGCATTCAGCTTTTGAGAAGGCTGGCTAAAGGCGTGAAAGAAACCGCAGATTGCGGAGTCCAAGCTGGAGCGTTTGTGCCATGTCCCTCGCCGCAAACTCGGGTTATCTTGCGCTACGTGCATGAGCCGCCAGAGGAAGTGTTTATTGTGCCAGATACAGAATGCTTCTATGTTTACTCTGACTGCCATGCGTTTCGCCATCGGGGAACGGCTGATAGAGTTCAGCGCCGGAGAGTGTGCCAATACTGTGTGAATAGGGCAGTAGATGATCCGGACAAAACACCAGACTACGGTCGAGACCTAGAGCGAGCTCAAGAGTATGAGCGTGTATTCAACACGCAGCTGCATACCTCAGGCCAGTCTTCAAGAAGGTGAGTGCGCCTTTCGGAGCACTCAAGGAGGAGTGCTGAAGCCCTGAGGAGTGCCTGCGATTGACGTCGTTGTATAGGTGAAAGGAAGCTTCATGTTTGAGTGCGGAGCTGACCTTTTCAATTTTGGCCGTTGTGCTCACTAGGGGAAGGCTACGAGACAGAAACCCCTTGGCCATGAATCAGAGATTCACAGCCTTAAGCAGTCGTAGCATGTAAGTCAGCAAGAACAGCAGACTGTTACCTAAGCTGACAGATGCGAATGCATGTCTGCAGCAGGTCGTACATCTGTGTGTTGCGTGAAAAAAGCAATCGCCGACGATCAGGTTAGCCATGGATGTGCCTATGCCGTCTGTTGCTGTCAACCCTGATCAGCAATACGGGCTACTGAACAAGCCCTCTCAGGGTTCTTGAGGGGTTAGTATTATAAAGGGTGCAATGATACGGCCTAGGGTTCAATATGTCGGGGCTATTAGGGCTAGGGCTTTCCTGCGGTTTGTAGTTTAAGGGTTTTTGGTTAGTGCTTAGGGTGCTCAGTTGTCTTTCTGCGCGCACGGCTTATATCTACACCCTGAGAATCTAGCTTCTTCTCTGGCTGGCCAATCTTTATGGCTCGGGGATCACTGTGCATTTCAGTTCTCGGCGGGCTTACTTCTCAAAGTCATTCTTTTGTAGAAAAGACACGCATCCCAAAACACTCTGGAAACGAAAGCCGGGGCCCGAAGATTGAAATCTGAATACAGCACCGAAGCCCGATGCGACGAAAGAGGCGGCTTTGTCACCCAATCGATGCTTTCTCGGCAGTGACAAATCCCCTGAAGCTCCGTGGCATAATGCTTGCCGTTGTACTTATGTGAGGAAATCGGCTCCCCCAAAACCCTAAAGCCTCCTTCGCGAAGCACCCCCTTCCTTTGTGTAATCCTTTTCTAAACTCTACAAAAGAAGCGCCGGATTTCTGCGCTGGACAACCAGCAAAAACCTGATAGGAAACCGCAAAGAACCGCTCCCTCCGATCTCCCTATTGACACTTGTCTGGGCCTCGTCGGCGACGCAATGCGGGCTCATAGGGAGGTTTCTCCCCCCTTCCCTGCAACTGGGAACCATCCGGATTGGGCATAGATCGGGCAAGGACACGAACGAGTTTCTGGCAAGTATGTCACACACAAGAAGGTACGAGTCATAGTAGGCGTGCGCTCATCTGCCAGATGGGGCTCTAGCATTCTGTGGGTTTGACTTGGGTAAGCTTTCGGAAACAAAGAAACATCCTGATAGTGATGTTGCAGCCAGGTCTTGACCCAACAAGGTGAGCGTGGCAAGCTCGCCGGCCTCTGAAGAAAGAGAAGGTCTGAACTGTTTTTTTCAAAATGATGCCACAGGGCCCAGCTGCAGACCTGGCCAAGGCTTGAATGTAGAAGCCTTACCAAGAGTCTCGGCGTATGCTATATTAAGGTATAACCTCCACCAATCATCGCTGTGCCACACTTTATACTACGGATCTCCATAGGGAATGCTCTCCATAGGGAATTTTATTACTAGTTGTTCAGGCAGTTTTGCTGCTGGGCCTGGGTCACCTGGGTATAAGGCCCAGGGCTTGCCTACGGCTAGCCTCTTCAGGCGTTCTTGGTTTGGAGGCAGAGTTCATTCTAAAGATCAAAGGCAGCTTTCAGCATTCAGCCCACCAGGCTAGAATATCTTGGAGAATACTCATGCTCAGGATCCCAATCCCAACATTCAAAGGCGAATCCCTTATCTCCTCAGTGAGAAAATCGCCCGGCCTCAGCGGCTCCTCGGGCTCCTGCCAAGGTTACAAATAACGATTCTGGAGGAATCTGCTGGAGCTTTGCAAGGGCTGTAGAGTGTGTCTCCCCGATGGATACGTCTTTGAGGACAGTGCAGGTCGTGCGCCCTAAACCTCAAAACTCTTGCCAAACTTGCATCATGCCCGCATCGCTAACATCTATGCCCGGAAGCCAGCATCTTGGAAATCTTCAAAACCTAAACTGATAATCCCTCCCACTACACTCCTACATGCTGTGATGGACACGCGGCTGGGGGGGACAATGTCACCACTGGGAGCTTGAGGCACAAACTGAAAAGTGCCCGTTCGAGCATTTTGTACTAACCCTCATAACCCGAAAATCTTGAGGCAAGCATCAATCCTAGACTCCTGGACACGACTCTAGCTTGCAGCAAGCAGGCGAGAAGCTCGTCATATCCCCTCAGTGAAAATATTCGCCCGGCCTGGCGCACAAACCCTAGTAGCGCATCCCAAAACCTGAACCTTCAAAGCATAGCCCTGATCTTCAAACCCAAATCTTGGACGGCGCCTTGGGCCGACAATGAATGGGCCCGGATGCGGAGTTCCCTGGCGTGGATCGCAAGGAATGTTTGTATAGCATGGCTCCGAAGACTCATAATGGGCTGAAGAAGTTGAAGAGATTTCTGGTAAAATCTTGTGGCAAACCATGTCGCATAAGGGTGTCTGAACGAAGCGCCGCACAAAATCTCTCATAACAAGACGTCATGACAATGCAAACAACAAATGACAACCACATCCAACGAAGGAGAGCTGATGAAACTCTCGACGCGTACCACTTGCAGACCGTTGCTCGGCACGCCTGCGCTGGCAACGACGAGATGCTGGTGCCGGCTATGAGCGGCTGCATCCATTGTGGCACTCGTGCGCCTGGGGCGGTGTTGCTTGCTCCCTAAACTCCAAGCCGTAATCAACCCATAACAGACCCTAAACCTGAAACCCCTACAAGACACACCGAACTCTCCATAAGGTACAACTCCCGAAATTATCCGCTGCTTTGTTGGGCTTCAGGGCTCTTTCTTCTCTTTAGAGGTTCGCTGAGTTTTGTGACAATCGGTCTAACTCGGGCTCTCTGCAGGGTACCTCTCATGCTGGCCATTGATTGGAGCGGCCGTCGAGGCGACTCTGCCTCAGGGCAGCGTTGTAGGGTTGTAGGTCTACTTTAAGGGTTTAGGGCATACTTTAGGGGTTTAGGGTATACTGTAAGGGTTTAGAGTGTACTTTAAGGGTTGAGGGAATATTTTGAAGGTTTAGGATATACATTTTAAAGGTTTAGGGATGTTTAGGGTATAATTGTGTTTAGGGTATAGATAGGGTTCTCGAAGACCTCCGCTGCGAAGGCAGGGGTGGGCCGAGCATGACATGCTCGGCCCACCCCTGCCTTCGCAGCGGAGGTCTTCGAGAGCCTTCAGCTGCCCAGCTTTCAGGGAGAGCATGGACATTCCCAAAGCCCAGTCCTGCGCGAGTCGGGCTTGGATTTAGGAACTCTGCACTTATTGAGCTCGAAATCAAAGAAACACCACCCGGAAATCCTCATTCCCTGTTCACGGACAGGTCGTGGCATTATGGCGGTTACCCTGCCTCTTTGGGCACATCGTAGGCCAGCATCAGCATCAGTACGGGAAGCGCACATTCATCGAAGCTTTGATCATCAGAGCTTCGATGAATGTGCGCTTCCCGTACCGCTGGAAACCGTCCGGCGGCAAGCTACCTGAGCTCGCAGCTTCTGATGCAAGCTGATATGATGACAACGGTGACGACGGTGACGATGGAGGAGGAGGAGGAGGAGGAGGAGGAGGAGGAGGAGGAGGAGGAGGAGGAGCAGGAGCAGGAGCAGGACAAGAATAGTAATGATGATGGTGATGATGTTGCTTATTATCATGTTGATGATGATGATCATCATCATCACCATCATCAGCAAGAGCATCGGCATGAGCATGAAGATGAGGAGGTGCATGAGGAGGAGGAGGAGGAGGAGGAGGAGGAGGAGGAGGAGGAGGAGGGCGAGGATGAGGATGAGGATGAGGATGCTGGTGATGATGGTGACGATGTGTTGAGGAGGAGGAGGAGGAGGAGGAGGAGGAGGAGGAGGAGGAGGTGGGCATCGGACAGCTGTTCGCAAGACTCAAGACACCGAATCTTCCAAGTGTTGGCTCTCAAATTTCATGCACATCGGACGTCCCTCCATAAAAAAATGCTCTTCACCGACAAGGAACCGCTTTTTTCGGAAGGCGGGGGAGAGACTGGGCCAAGTCGCGGCAGCGAGAGATCCGTTCCCCGAAGAAACAGCGGTTGGGATACCTCCGGTGCGGCTTCTTGCTTTTTCGGTTCTTCTCCCTCAGCATGATCTGTGTCCAGAACGTTAGGTTTAGGAACCCTGAACCCAGCAGCTGGGTTCCAGTCTTCTTTTCGTCAGGTGACCGAGAAACCAAAACTAGTGGAACAGGACCATAGGATTTCGCGATACAGGAAAGAAAAGCATGAAGGATATGCTGA